CATTAAATAAATAAATGATCAAATAAATGTAAAAAATTTAAAACCAAAACAAGATGGCTGACTGGTATCTAAGGCTTCTTGGAGCTTGGGTCACTCAAAACAAATATAAGGACATATACTGTTGCAACACGTTGTATTGGTATTTTGCTTAAGCTACAAGTAGGTCTTTGAAATATACACAAACATGTCAATGCATGGATCCATCTTAACCAAGCAGCAATAGGTCATTAAAGATTTTTTTAAAGCTGGAGCGATGACTCAGTAAGAGCATGGGCAGTTCTTCTAGAGGACCTGGGTTCAATTCCCAACACTGACATGGCAACTTGCAGCCATCGGTAAGCCAAGTCCCAGAGGATCCAGTGGTTTTCTGGCTTCTGCAAGCATCAGGCATGCACATGATCCATGTACATACATTCAGGCAAATACCCATATACATAAAATAAATAGGTCATTTAAAAAGATAAAAAAAAATTGGTAACTGTTAAGTTCCAGATCCTATGAAAGAGTTGCTGAAAGGGGAACTTAAAAAATTATTTAAAACAAAAACTTTGTTTTCTTCCAGGTACCAGTTGAAACGAAATTCTAATCAAGATATAATTCAGAAGGATTCTCATCTGTCATATCAACAACTTTATACCTAGAAAGTTATTGCTAAGTTCATACATTGTATGAATGATATTTTTATTTGACAGAATTATGTTTCAAACTTTGGAACGAGATTGTTCTAGCATGGTATATTTTTCACATATCCAGTATGAAATTATGTACATATTCCTAATTTTCTGCCTTGTAGACTTATAAAAGGTAGAAAAGTATTTTGTTTATATGTATTTTTGTAGCATTGACAGATTCCTATCCAAGTCATTATCTTCATGCACAATGTTTTGTGCTGTATTTACAGCACCACTTTGACTCTAATTTATACAGGTCATGCTAATACATCTCTATTTTAAACAATTAAGCTGTACAGGTGTGTGCTATTTTACTAAATTTGTTGGCTTTCTGAAACATGATTGCTGTGGATCCCTTCTTGAGCGCTGTGACAACACTGCTATGAGAATCTTTTAACAGAACTTTACAATAGGACTTTTTTGACCAGATTTTTATTATTACCACCCCAGTTTTTAAGACTTCTAACCTATCAGCTAGATACAGACACACTCTTCCTAATGCTATATATGAAAGTAATATGCAAATGACTTCAGAGGCAATTCCTTACTTCACTTCCTGGTATGAAAATCATATAAGACAATGGGGCTATAAAATGACAAAGCAAGATGGTCAGAGAAAAGAGATGTGAACAGATAATCATTGCTTCCTCGTCTCACTGGGAGAGACGCCAATCGGAAAAGGCATGTTTTGTTTGTAACTCACGGAGCAGGAAGTGTTGTTGAGCTTTTTGCTGGAGAGTGAGACCCAGCACCCTTGAGTTGCTCACTGGCCTTGTTCTTGTGGCAAATGTGCACATATTCATGTGACACTTCAAAATTAAAACAGCAGCATCGACACACAACTCAGTGTCCTCGATTAAACACGAAATTACTGAAAGGGAATGCTGATCCCATTGTTTTAGACTAGCCTCTAAACACTGTCAAAATACACATTCATTCTTACCTGAGACCACCCAGAAAGGCTTGTCTGTTAGGCATAAAGTACAGAAAGAGCTTTTCCTTCATAGGAGCTGATTTCAGTGGAGTTGGGCCAAAGAAAGATTCTACCTCATATTGTAGTTCTCAGGCAATGGCATGCTTGAGTCCTAGTGCTACAGTCCTAGTGCCCTTATCACAACACAGCTAACCGTAGCATCTTAACAGGCTCACTGAATTCATTCTCAATTGTTTATTTCTTCTAAGGCAGCAGCATTTTGGGGAATGGGAATTTATGACTCTCTCTGCCTTAACTTGTCTGCTTCGCTTCATAGCCAAAACTGAAAGCAATACAGAAATCCTACCTCTGATTAGAGAGAGGATAGGATATTGTGTTGGTAGAGATAAAAATAAAACTTTAAGAAAGCAGAGCAACATTGAAAAGGAAACTAAAGAGCCAGGGGCAGACACATTACTCAGATTAAGAAATCAGCTGAGGGGCTGGAGAAATGGCTCAGAGGTTGAGAGCACTGACTGCTCTTCCAGAGGTCCTGAGTTCAATTCCCAGCAACCACATGGTGGCTCACAACAATCTATAATGAGATTTGGTGCCCTCTTCTGGTGTGTAGATATATGTCAACAACACACTGTATACATAATAAATGTCATTAAAAAAAAAAATCAGCTGAAGCCAGTATCTGCCATAATTACCTTAGAATTTAGCTTTGATAAACGTTGCTGCCTGACAGAGCTGCACTTCACTCACACATTTTGAGGTGGAGCCTGACTCTACAGTGCTTGAACACAAAAGGGAAAAGTCCTTTTTTTAAAGCATCCCCATGGATCCAATTTTTCATCTTTTATCTTCTGTGAATGATGACTCTATTCTTCAAGCTCCAAAGGAAAAACAAAATCTGTGTGTGAGGAAATCCTAGCCAGAACCTATAATAACACTCCAAATAGCCCTTACATAGTGAAGATTCTTGGGGCCAGGGTTGAGTTCAGAGCCTCACACACACTGCTGCTGAGATACACCCCAGTTCTATGGTTATTTACATTCGGGTTTCCTTGGCTAGCCTGGAATGATGTGGCTGAGGATGACCTCTGTCTGCTGATTCTCTTCAATTTCCCAAGCGCTGGGACCACAGGAGGTCACTACCTTCCCCTCTCCCCAGCTCAGCTTCACATTTTAAGAAAGCAAACTAAAACAAGATTCAAAGAGAACAGGTGATATAGTTGCAGAAGTTGTCATTCTATTCTTTGTAGTCTACACTGTAGTTCTTAGCTTAGGTTCTAGGAAACTAACTCCCAAAAGAGGTTAAAATGTCTAAAAACTAATTACAGGTAGTACTTAACTCAGAAATAGTATAGCTACATGCTGTTTCTTCTGAAGCTAATTTAACATTGTACAATTAAACACAACCTACAAAGCTGTTATGAATTGTCTTATTTTTGTAATTTTAAGTTATTTGTGATTTTTGTATTTATAAGCTAGTAATTCGTTTTTAATTTTGTTATGTATGGGTGTTCTGTGACAGAAGCCATCAGGTCCTTTGGGGCTGGATTTATAGAATAAAATCCAAGTCCTCTGGAGAGTAGTCAGTAATCTTTAACTGAGTGACCTCTCCAGCCCTGGTAATTCCTTTTTAAGGGTAAAAATTCTTTGACCTCTATACCTTGAAAACAAATACTTAACAAAATCTTTTGAATTAGAATGTAGGCTGCTAAAGAGCAGGGACCCTATCTACTTTGTAAATTCTTTTTGTATCTGAATCTAACATGATAGGTGTCTGCTTTTCTGTGTATACACACACACACACACACACACACACACACACACACACACACAGAGAGAGAGTCCTCAAGTTACCCAGTTAATAACTGCAATGCTACACCTTCATTCCTAGTATCATTAAAACACCCTGACTGGCTTCTGCTTCCGTCTTTCCCTAACATACAGCCAGAATAATCAATCCTTTTTACAAAGAACCAGGTCATCCCACTCCTTTATTTGGGATGTCACAAAGGCTTTTGTCATCAGAATAAGGTCCTCAGTGCTAATAACTTTGTCAAGTCTTGGGGGGCAAACCTATTCGTTTGTGAATGCTAGCCAAGAGTTCTACCTGAGCCAATTCTGCCTCTGACCTCATCTACTCATTTATTCTATTCACCTATTACTAAAATGTCAGGCAAGTCCTTAAGAGGACTTGCTCTGCTCCCACTCAACAGGACTCCACCTTAGCTCCAATCTCATCTTCCCAATGCCATTCCAAGTACAGCAGCAAACTACCAATTATGCTAGTTGGGCTCTGGCGAACACCTAACATGGTACATGATTTGCACTTATGATTGGCAGTCTCTAAAGACTGTGCATCCCGAGTGCTTAATACTGTCCAGTGAGTAAATACTTTAGTAAATAAACCCATATATCCTACATCCCAGTATAAAATTTGTAAATATACTTTATGAAACACATTCAGCAGGGATTAGGTTATTTCTAGGTCATGGAGCCTATTTAGTTGTCAGATTTGTAACTAAAACTAGCTGCAGGTCCAAGTTAACTACTCATCAGGGGTGCTGACCAGTCTCCAAAAGGAAGGCTCTGCCCGTGTGAGTCCTCATCCTGTCATTCTGACGCCTGAAAACTAAGGGGAGGAGACAGTGGAACTTGAGAATTACCATGTACTTTTAGCACTCTCCATAAAGCACTCTCTTTGGTGAGAGAAAACTGAAGGGGTTTTAAAAAACCAAGTCCGTTTTTATTAGGGGGTACTTTAGAATAATTGCCTGCCTTATCTGGCACTCCTCTCTAAGCTTAGTACAGTCAGCATTGTTTATTAGATTGTATAAGTATTCTTAACAAGCAAATTCTGTGTGGTGCCTAGGTCAGATTTTAACATTACAAACCAGTGAATAAAAATAAGCTCATTTCAATCAGAATAGAGTACATTTGAGGATAACTGCTAAACCTCCTTTAATATCAATCTGTTAATTTGATTACCAATCTGAGAAACATCTGTTTTAGGTACTTACAATTATCACATACTTTTGATGTTAAATTATCTGAAACAAAAGTGAAGGTCTTATTCTAAAACCTGTATGATACTCTTTAAGCAGTTCTGTGCGCCTCACAGCAAACAGCCACTACTTAAGAATTATAAAAACACTCCAATCTCTTCTATTTATATTTCCATTATATCTGACTAGTATTTACACAATTGTGAATATGTAGCTTTTACAGGAAAAATAAGAGCAGCTCTTTACAATCTTAGAAATGGATCTTTTCCCAAATACTGAAAAGTTCTCCCAAACTCTGACCAAATATGCCAAAGAAATACACCAGCCAACCCTTTGGTTACAGGCATTGCAATCTCCCAAACGTGTCATCATTGGGTTAGAAACTCATCTCAGCAACAGTGTTTATGCTTCCATTTTATTGGTTAAAGAATTGAACTGTCACCTCAGTAGTCTTAAGAGCAATTAATGAAACATACATACACTTAGACTTTGTCCATCATAGATAGCTTCAAAGGCTTCCCTGAAATGCACTGGGATTCACAACTTTTTCCTTAAGAACAGAAACACTTAACAATAATCCTGGGATCTGTCTACCCACCCACCCTCATCCAAACAATTAGCTGATGAATTCAAGTCTAACACTTAACATTTTGTCTATTACAAGACATTCATCTGACCTGCCTCCCAGTATAATGCTTATTAACATAACTGAAATTGTTGTTTAAAGCCTACAAGAATTGTCCTAATGTGGGATTTTTTTCATGATAATGATTTTTTTTTTTTGGTCCAAAATACAGGCGAAGTGGTTTCTTACCACACCCAACACCCCAGTAAATCTTAACACAAGAGCTTCTCCTGAACAGCTAAGAAGCTCTTACATGAATCCGGCTATTGTCTAATTACATGAAACAGAGTTATTAGGATTTTAACAGTAATATTTAAATAGCTCCTAAACGGGTACAAAAAGGAATCAAGTTTGCACCAATCCAAGTACCTACAGTAATATGATAGAAACACTCACCACCATGTCACACTATTTCACTCCCATGCTTCTAATAACAAAAAATTTCTCACTAAAAATAGTGCATGAGCAAACCAGACTCTCAAACTGCTGTATGTGGGGGAAAAAAATCACTTGCTCAAGAAAAACTGCATTAGTTATTTTTGGCCAGCCAAGGCTAAAATGGCGTTTATATTATTTTCTACTTCAGTGCTAAGTTCAGAAATGATTTTGCATCTGATCATCCAACATGAGAATGCTCCTGTACCTGACAGAAAATGGTGAATTACCAATCAATATATTCTTTGTCAAAAACCAATGTTCTAAATTTATATATGACAAACTATCTAATAAATGACACCTGCATACTACACACCATGTTTATATTATGCACCATTTTAAGGGGGAAGAAAAGCTTCACAAGGGTTTAGTCAAGCCAAAGGATATATATAATAATATCCTAAGAATGTTGACTTCTACACAGGAAAGCTGTCTAGACTGAGTGGTCATCCTCAATGGACTGTAACAAGCCCCTATAATGCAAACACTGACTCCAAAGGCACCTTACACGGCACTGAAATTCACAACCTTATTATTACTTTTCTTCTGTCCAATTCAAAATTATCTGGTTGTTTTCACTATTGATTCCATGCTACAATGTTAAAATGCTTTACCAAAAAAAAAAAAAAAAAAAAAAAAAAAAAAGAAAAGAAAAGAAAGGAAATGATAGTTTTAAAAATTTCAACTTAGAGGAAAAAACTCACCACAGCAATGAAACCTGAGTAAATGCTAGTTTGTGGTTTTACAAGAAAACACCCTTTGCTAATACATTAGTCAAATTCCTCTACAGCACTCAAGTTGCAGTTTATAACCCCATAAACAAGACACAATAAAGCACAGAACCAAACTGCTATGGAGAAATGCAGATTTAAATAAAGCCTAGTCAGCCCTAAATATGGTAGGTAGGTTAACAGTGAACAGTGAACACAGAAGACATTTCATCCAAATAAGACCATTCCAACAACCCTATAAAGTGATATAATAAGTTATATCTATATCACTATTATAATCTTAAGAGATTAAGTGTGACAAATTATGTAACTCTAACCACTCAGGAAAACCACCAGCATCTTATCAGTGGTTTACCTAGAGCCTGGAAAGCCATCATTTTCTTATGATTAGAATGTCTTGGGACATGTCAAACAACTATACCACTATAGGAATTTGGATGTATTTTGGCATTCCTGAGGCAGTCCAAAGACAAAAAGGAAACCAAGTGAAGTGCACTACATAATTAATACCCCTTGAAGTTTCAGTGCCTAAAATGTGAAGTAATTCCCTATCATATAACAGTCTGCCTGATAACAATTTTAGTAGAGTTTTACTTTTAGGACTTTAATTTTGGAAAAATAGTGGTAAAACATAAATGGTTTAAAAAATTACGTGGCTGCACTTAAATTTACATAAAAACAGCATTTTTACAACCACCTTGAAATTTAATCCTTATATATGTTAACAAAATGCATCACAAGAAAAACTAAACATTGGGTTTAATAAAAGCAGTATTTTTGAAAATGGAACAGTGAAAAAATTTCAAATTTTTTACAAATGGTCATTTCTGGGTCAATTTGCCACACCAAAGTAACAGTTGCTAAGATACATTTGTGCTCAACCGAGCCACGTATCTGCACTATAGTATTTGAAAGCAATCCTAAGGTCAAGATTTAAAACTATTTTAAGGGACAAGACTTTGTGTTTTATAGTCACCTCCTGAGAGGTATTTTTTCCTTCCCCCAGCAGTAAAAGGTTAATTAAAAGATTGACTAATTTAATCTTTTTCCTTGTCATATCTTCAGTTCAAAACACTATTATCACTGGTAATATGGTCTGTATCTTGTTTGATCTGGATGATGTGGTCCAGGAAGTGGGGTTTGAGAAGGCGGGCCCTGCATTCGTGGAGGTGGTGGTGGCCCTCGTGGTGCAGGCCATATACCGGGACTCATTCCTCCTGGTTGTGTAAATGGAGGGCTCAGAGTTCCTTGATCTTCAGTAAACTGGGGTAAAGAGTTAGGATTGTAATGGTGAGGGGGGGGTGCAGTTACAGGTGGACCTCCATGTTGAGGTGGGGGGGGTCCTGGAGGAGGATGATTCATATAAGGTGGCATCTGGGCAATCATATGTCCAGGGGGAGGGGTTATTGGTGGTGGAGCAGAGGTCATTGGTGGAGGTGGAGCTTGGCTATACACCAAGTGAGGAGTCCCTGCAGCCTGGGGAGGGTGTGGCATTGGATGGCTTATTGGTGGTGGAGGAGGTGGGGGCGGTGCGTAGTGCTGCTGTGGAGGCATAATATGGTGAGGGTGGGACACCACTGGCTGGCCCTGATAGTCAGGGTGATGGTGAGCAGGTGCTGGGGCAGGAGGTGGCGGTTCTCTAGCACCTGAACTTGAGTCATCCTGAATAGGGACAGTTATTAAATTGCTGTGCTTTCTTGTTGAAATACGAAAGGTTTCCTGACTGACCGAACGAGGTGGAGGTGGAGCCATAGACAATTCTGCTGGAGGAGCACGAATATCCTCATGTGGCTGATTATAGTGCTCATGGGGCACGTGCTGCAAAGGAGGTGGTGGCATCAGGATGTGCTGCTTTGGAGGAATATGGCTCATGTGATGCTTGTCTGGTGGCATGATGAACCGATCGGGGATGTCAGTTGGTGGTGGGGCAATAGGAGGATGAACATTCTCAAGTGAAGCACGGGTAACAGGCTTTCCAGCTCTCATATGGCGATGGTTGATGTGAGCTTGTAAGTCTCTCTGAGACAGGTATGTTCTCTTGCAACCTTGAACAATGCTACACATGAAGAGAGAACCTCGTGTACACTGCTCAATCCGCTGCACAGGATCACTACAGCTGAACAGGAAGGGAAAAGTTGATTAAAAACAGAATACAAAAGAGCACATTTATTTTTACCTTTTGCTTTCTTTAAAAAATGTTACATGTTGGGCTGGAGAGATGGCTCAGTGGTTAAGATCACTAACTGTCCTTCCAAAGGACTTTGATTCAATTCCCAGCACCTACATGGCAGCTAACAACTGTCTGTAACTCCAAGATCTGACACCCTCACACAGACATACATGCATGCAGAATGCCAATATACATAAAATAAGTAAATTATCTTTTAAAAAAGTTACAAATTGCCAGGCATTGGTGGCACACACCTTTAATCCCACAGCACTCGGGAGGCAGAGGCAGGCGGATGGATCTCTTAGTTCAAGACCAGCTTGGTCTAAAAGAGATAGTTCCAGGACAGCCTCCACACCCACAGAGAAACCCTGTCTTGAAACCCCACCCCCCAAAAAGTTACATAGCTGCAAAAACTAAAAGAGTATTTAATTACTGTTAGTGAATCTTTAATCTTTTCCATTTGTCTCACTCACTAATCATTAGCATTTCTACCAACCTGAGATATTTTTACCTTAGAACTGTGAATTATACCACCATGGTTGGTTTTAAGAGAATGTTTTAAGAGACCTTCTGTTTCCCAAAACTTAGAACTCACTAATTTTCTCTAGCTACACTATGATCTGTATCCAAGAATGGTAAGGGATCTGCCAAGTTCAGTTGTCTCTTTGCCCACCTCACTGTAGAGCTAGTGCTTTTGAAGCTAGTGTGTTTCTCCTTTGGGACCATTGTGCACATTTCTTGCTTTTCCACATCTAACTCACTATACACCCAGAAACATCTCCATGTAAAATAGGTTAAGGTCTTGTCTTTTGAAATATATTACTTAAAAGCAGTAATATATACTACCTATACTAATTCTGGTTGCTAGCTTTACTTCCTGAACTGGGACTGAACAGGCTTCTCTCTAGATAGCTAAGGACTACATTAAGTGAGGTGCATACTGGAAGACAGTTACCTGAAAACTAAATCCTGCTTTTAAATATTAATATTAATATTAATATTAGAATATAGAAAAGAGAAAACCTTTTAAAGTTCATTATAGGTAGTGTTTTATCACATTTTAGTCCTTTATCTTAATGGAACAAGCACATTGCTAGATAACTTTAAAGTGAACGTACACTGGCTGGGAAATAGGCATTAGAGAAAACACCCACCAACGACTATAATACATACTTCCAATTTCACAGTCTTCTGAATTATAAGTCTATGGAACTATTCTTTTAACACGGTATATAGTTTATAATCTGTAACTTTAAAAACCCAGCAAAATATGCTAAGAAACTCAGTTGTCATTGGGTAATAACAAATCATCCCTTATTACCTAGCAATGTCCATACACTACACCATAAGGGGAAAAATCTTTCATTATAGTTGTTTATATCTTTATCAGCAACCGACACAATGCTTGGGGTACTTTCAAGTGTGGGTTTAGAGACAAACTGAGAAGCTGCAAGCTAATCCAACAAGTTTCACTCCATTTTTCTCAAGGCTTCCTTATCAGGGGTTCTAAATTAACATAAATTCCATTTTATTCTAGAGCCAACCCAAAATAGACATCGTGATGCGTAACTCTGAGTCTATCATGTTATATCACTTAAAACATACCTGTTTTGTTATAGTAAGAACTTATATAGGCATAGTGTTTATTATATACCAGATTCTACTGTTCCATCTAATCTTAAATATAACACACCTAGTGGGCTTACAGATGTAAAACCCAGCTTACATCACATAGCTAATAAATAGCAAAACAGAGACTTGAACTCAAGGATTCCAACCCTGGGGCCAGTGAGACAGCTCAGCAGGTATATAGTGCTTGTTATGCAAGCCTGCTAATCCAAGTTCTACCTCAGAACATATGTAAAGTTGAAAGAAGAGAGCTTAGTCCACAAAGTGGCCTTCTGACCCCTACACACATGCTCACACTGCCACACATTATTCACATACAATTAGTAATTTATTTATTTATTTGGTTTTTCGAGATAGGGTTTCTCTGTGTAGCTTTGGAGCCTATCCTGGTACTCACTCTAGAGACCAGGCTGGCCTCGAACTCACAGAGATCCACCTGCCTCTGCCTCTGGAGTGCTGGGATTAAAGGTGTGTGTCACCACCACCCAGCAAAGACACTGTTCTTAATCACCAACCATACTTTACTTGGTTCCGTATTCCATTCAAACAAACAAAACAATGGTTCTTGTTTCCAACACCATTCCTATGGTGCCAAAGAGAGTTTATCATTTTAGCTACTCTGAATAGCTAACAATGGTTAGCTCTATTTGCAGAGAAGGCTAAGACAACTCAGCCAGCAGCACATTTGCATCCTTGTCTATTTCCATCACTCATAACCTTCAAACCCAGCTTGCTTATAAACCACTACTATTAGATAATCTAAAGATGACCACATCTTACCCTGGGCACATCTTATCTCCCTTTTTTTCATGTAAAATAGCACAGTCATAGCAAAAGACATGCTTGCATGGAATCTGTGGACAAAAAAATACTATAGTTAGCATCCTAGAACAATTTAGAATATTTCAGTAACAGAACAGACAGAAAGCACACAGAACAATTTAGAATATTTCAGTAACAGAACAGACAGAAAGCACACAGGAATTATTTAAATGAGAACTTATGACTATACACCAGTAGCAGCTAACATTTATTTATTTGTTTGTTTGTTTGACTGATTGATATTTTCCCCCCTGAGGCAGGGTTCCTCTGCGTAGCCCTGACTGTCCTGGATCTCACTCTGGAAACCAGGCCAGCCTCAAACTCAGAGATCTGCTTGCCTCTGCCTCCTGAGTGCTCAAATTAAAGGTGTGCACAAGTTTTTGAAAATGTTTTGAAAACTCTGGCTCTTTTCCCAATAAATCTATGTACATCTGCTAATGCTTTGCTTTTCATTTTTGGAGACAGGATTTCAGGTGTACTTCAGGTTGGCCTTAAGCTCTGATGTACCTGAGGCAGGCCTTGATCTAATGATCCCTCTGCCTCAACCTTCAGAGTACTAGGATAACCAGATTGCCTGGCACCTGCTTCTATTCTCAGATAGGTATGTGAACCCATCAATGTTGAAAAGAACACTAAATGTGCTTTATCTTACTGTGTTTCTCCTGAAACTATTCCAAAAGAGTAAAGAATAAGTATGTTAAATTCATAGTATTATAAAACTTTCCTTAGCTTCTTTGTGCATACTATGTTTTAAAATTAGTTATACAAAATAATAAGCTTGCCGGGTGTTGGTGGCGCACACCTTTAATCCCAGCACTCGGGAGGCAGAGGCAGGCGGATCTCTGTGAGTTCGAGGCCAGCCTGGTCTCCAGAGCGAGTGCCAGGATAGGCTCTAAAGCTACACAGAGAAACCCTGTCTCGAAAAAACCAAAAAGAAAAAAAAAAGTAAGCTCTATTTCAGAATCCGACTTCTACAGAGAGGTGTGGATCATCTACAAAACTACACTTTCTCTGTACTTACCATTCTCCCATAGACTTTAATAGGCAATCCACATTTGTCACAGAAATGAACTGGAGTATCATCCTTTTCACCTAAGATGTTTATCTGTTAAAATGATAATTAAAATTTTCTCTTTAAGCAATTCTGAAAATTGTACTTATCAATTCACACAGTGAAATGGTTGGAATTCTATAACAGTTGTTACTACAAACAGAAATAAAAGCTGCTTAGTATAACTCCGTTTGCTTATTCTCCTTAAATAGTGGTAGTTGATTTTACTTGGTTTATTGAAAAATTACCTCAAATTATTTTGGAAGATATAGAAACAAGCAAGTGAACTTATGTGTGTGCTAAGTTATAGACATACTAAAAATTTATATCAGTACTTAATACTTATTTTTTTATTTTTAGTTATACCTTAAAATCCCAAAAAAGATGTCCTGGAAATCTTCGCTGATTTCCAAAGAGTTCGCCTCCTTTACAGTCATACCGTTGTTCTTCATTATAATCAAATCCTTCTGAGAAAAAAAGTTATATTACACTTTGCAACTTCAAATTTCATTGTTAAAGTAATATTTACATGACAAAATAGACCTATTTACCGAAAAATGTTTCTGATGACTTTCAAAGATCTAAGAACATGAAATCAAAACTAGTTTACAATGCCAACTGAGCCTGGTGATCATCTAGTCCATCTGTAGGACTTTACAGAGGATGATGTGCAGTGTATATTGAAACCACCATATAAGCGTCTTACTCAATGCTCTCATCAACTCCACACACGTCTCTATTATAAAACCTTGCCATTAAGTTTATTGCCCAAATTTTAAAGTACTATCATCATCTATTCTAAAGCACCTACAAAAGTGGTATTAAGCCACAAGAGACTGATCTGATTGCCAAAGGATTAAATAAATTCTACAGGCTTTTTATGACTGCCCCTCAAAGAGGGAATAGTTTCAGAAATAACAGATGAAAAGAATACACTTGATCCTTTTAGCTAAAGCCTCTCCCTAGTCAACAACCCAGACTGCAAGAGGCAAAATACTTACCAGTATCTGGTCATTTACAGCATATATAAATATCATGTAACAGGACACTATGAAGATCAAATGGGCGGAATATTTCTAGTCTAATTGAAAAGTTGACAGCAAGCCTCTAATCTCAAGCAAAACAACACAAACCATGAACAGTCTGATGGGAAGTCCAGGTAGATTCCAATTACCCAAGTAAAGCTAAGAAGACAAAAATACCGCTGGGCAATGGTGGCACACACCTTTAATCTCAGCACTTCGGAGGAAGAGGCAGGTGCATCTCTGAGTTCAAGGCCACCCTGATCTACAGAGCAAGTTCCAGGCCAACTATGGCTACACAGAGAAACCCTGTCTCATAAATAAATAAATAAATAAATAAATAAATAAATAAATAAATAAATAAATAAATCTAAGGTATCAATCAAGGTTTCCTTGGCCTTAGAGCTGGTAAACAGAGTGGCCAAAGCACATACTTTGTGCACAACTACTAATGTGTGCACACACACACACACACACACACAGAAAGTCAAGCCAGTTTTTGTTGTTTTTCAAGTGCTGGGATTAAAGGCATGTACCCGGCTACACTATACTTTTTAACTAATCCCAACAAAACTATATAGTTCAAAGCCATGGCTTTCTTGTGACGAGTGCCCTAAGCTCTTATATGACCCATTTAAGCTTCATAAAAACAGTGGTCATTAAAATTCAAGCTAAAGAAAATCAGCATGCCAAACCCAGAAAATTAATGAGGTCAGTGGTCTAGGGAAACATGGCACACATGACCACTTTTTGGAGTGGCACAAGCTGTTCTCTTATCATTAAGCAGGTATTTACAGTTATCATACTTACACCCAAAACTCCATTTTGATCAATTTTAGAATAAGAAAATATTTTTTAAATTCAAAAACTATCTTTCAGATCAGTTTGCTCTCTTATAAGAGCAATAGTAGGTCCCCTATAAAAGAGGCTGTATGGCTTTGGAATGTGGGTGAAATGCCTAGAGGAAAATGCTGTAGAACAATCTTCGTACATATGGTAAATATGTGTTGTGCTCATTGTTAATATAAAGCTGATTAGCCAATGGCTAGGCAGGATTTTTCATGGCAGAGAGAATGCTGGGAAGAAGGGTAGAGTCAGAGGAGTTGCTGGAAGCAGGACATGCAAGAGAGGTAAAAGCCACAGCCTTAGGACAACACACAGGTCAAAAGAAATGACTTAATTTAAGTAGTAAGAGCAGGTCAGTAATAAACCTGGGCTACTGGTCTAGCTTTTATAATTAATAAGAAGTCTTGCAGTGGTTATTTGGGAATCGCAGTCCCAACAAAAAATTCTGCCTACAGGAAGAAGTACAGAAGGGGGAACTTGGCTTTTTTGCACTTTGATTATACAAAGTATATTATGTGCAGTCAAAAAATAATTGACTAAAGGTCAGCATGGGTGGGGAAGCCTAGATTACAATAGTGCAGCATCTGCCTACGCTGCTGTTCTCAGCCAGCCTTTGTGCATGCTGAGCATGTACTATATCACTGAGCACATCCAAACTCACTACTGTGATTTACAACATTTAACTTCAAATCTACTACCTTAGTATATGAGAGGAAGCTTACAGTAGAATACGTTATAAAACACAATGAAAGCAGTTTGGTTCTGAAGAGAAACAGATCATAAGAACAAAACTTAGGAGTAAGACAAGTCCTCCTAGAACTTGAATATGTGCTAACAGCAAGATTCCATTCTGGAAGGAAAAGACAGATTACCCAGTATTTGGGGAGCTGGTGAACTGTTTGAGTAAAAATTTAAAAAGCAAGACCTCACTTTTAAAAAGATATGGAGATATATATATATATATATCTCCATAAATGCTCTAAAACATGGGATAAACTGTTGCTATAAATGGTCACACAGTGCAAATTTTAGGCTTTCTACGTCACATCAATCTATTCCACTCTGCCATGGTAGTGGGAAGGCAGCCATGGGCAATAACCAAATGAATGGGAACTTTACTTTTTTAAAGGAACCAAATCTGACATGTAGGCCACTTTGCTGACTTCTAATTAAATGGAAAGACAGGAAAGTGAAACAGCAAACTCTAGTTAACAGACTACCTAGAATGTTCAAATTCTTTACAGTAATGTTTTATCCATATTAAATTCAAAAGATAAATGAACTACACAGACATTTAACACTGCCACTTTCACAAAGAACTCAAAAGCTAAGAGATGGGCACCAATCAAAAGTAAGATGATGGAACTGAGGCAAGAAATGGCACCCATCCACTTCAGTTTCTGTCATGGGCACAGTGGCCCCTGCCTATTATCACAGCACTCAGAAGGCTGTGGCAGCAAGACTACTCAAGGTCAAGGATGGAGACCCTGTCTCAAAAAAAAAAAAAAAAAAGTTTAATAGTAAGAAATAACGGTGTGTGTGAGGGTAAACTAACAAACCCTTTCTGAAGAGTAACTGAGCAGGAACTGATAAATTCTAAAATGTACAATCAGGTCTTTAAAAACAACTTCTGGACATCAGTTCTCGTCTTCCTCTTTTACATTAGTTCTAGGGATTGACATAAGTCAACAGGGTTATGTGCCAATTGCCCTCACCCACTAACCTTGCCATCCCTCAAGTCAAGTTACAGTGAAACAAATAGGCAGAAAGAAGTTAAAACACCTTTGTTTGCAACAGGGTCTGGCATCAAACTACAACTGAGCAATCCTCCTGCCTCAGCTTTCTAAGTACTGGCATTTCTGGCATGGGTCACCATAAGTGGCTAAATAACCCCTTCACCCCACCCTAATGTTTTTGTTTTTTTCTAGACAAAGTTTCTGTGTAGCCTTGGAACTAGTTCTGTAGACCAGGCTGACCTCAAACTCAGAGATCCACCTGCCTCTGCCTCCCAAGTGCTGGGTTTAAAGGTGTGTGCCATCATCACCCATCACCATCTTAACAGATACTAGCTTTGGAAAGGATTGTGAAAACAAATTTTACTTTTAATATAATGCTCTCTGCAATATTGATTAGATTCTTTGAAAAGATCATAAGGGGGCTTACAAAGGGAGAAAAAACGGTTAGAAAATAGGTTAAAAATTTTTTAAATAGGTTTAAGTAAATAAAATCAAGTAGATTAACTGGTGCACTCAGATAAAACAATACAACTGTTACCTTCATCACCTGGTGGGACCTTTGCAGGCATCCTAATAGTCCTTTGAGTTCGAGGTGCAGGTTTAACTTTGTTGGCTTGTTTGGAGATGAGTTTTATGGGAATTCTTCTTCGAACATCAAGACCACCCAAGGATCCAGAACTATTAGTGCCTTGTAACTCATTGTCTATAATGAATGGAACAGAAGAAATTGTAATTTCTTTCACTTTTCTTTTTGAAAATTGTTCTACAAATATAAAGATAAAATCAACATCAAACAATAAATTAAAGATCTTGGTTGTGATTTTAAATACCAGACTGACCTACTATTCCTCATTTGGAGTTACCCTTTAAAACAATGCTTTTGGTTACCCTTTGAACATGGAACCCTTTCAGAAGCTGACAAGTTACAGAAGTATTATCTCTTTCTAGAACTTTGAACACTAAAAATTCCCATAGTAATTTACAGAAACATAAACATTTTTAAAGTACAAGAAGGAACTGGAGAGATGGCTCAGCAATTAAAAATACCAGCCACTCTTCCAGAGGACAGGGATTGGCAGCTAATAACTGCCTATAACTCCAGTTTTAGGGAATCTAACACCCTCATATCAATGTACATAAAATTATTAAAAAATAAAATAAAAATGAAAAAAACCTGATACATATTGTAATAGATTCTTAAATATAAAGGAGAAAAAACAAAATTGCCTCTAAATATGTATCTAATTATTAAGCCTGCAAAGTATCCACCCAGTAAACTTAGTAAATTTACATAAAGACAAACAAAATTAGAAATCCAACACTCAATCTGATGGATGTACTTGTTTCCAAGTACATAAAGATATGTAACACAAAATACTCAGCCCGGCGTTGGTGGCACATGCCTTTAATTCCAGCACTCGAGAGGCAGAGGCAGGAGGATCTCTGTGAGTTCGAGACCAGCCTGGTCTACAAGAGCTAGTTCTAGGACAGCCTCCAAAGCCACAGAGAAACCCTGTCTCAAAAAAACAAAAAACAAAACAAAACAAATACTCAATTTTACCTTAAGTGCTTAAAAATAGGAAATACAAATGTAACTTTAAAATTGTAACATTTCAAACACAAATTACTGATCAGAGTTCCTGCAAGAATTACAATCAAGACTTAAAGCCCAAATGTCCACATTACATCCATTAAAGCCAAATGTAATTCAAAATGGGTCTCAATAATTAAACATCTGTCTACTTTCTAGTGTAACAGCAAACTCCTCTTAAAATTTTTCATGAAAAGGGGATTTTACATGAATAGATACAATCTTGAACAAAACAAACACATTTTGATCAACCTTCAAGACTGCACTAAAATTGATAGAATGTCTGTTCATGTATTTCAGCAGTCTTCACTGCATTAGCTCATCCATACAGAAGTACCCACCAGCCATAGACATATGACAGATGATCTTTTTATGTCTGTTCATGTATTTCAGCAGTCTTCACTGTATTAACTCATCCATACAGAAGTACCTACCAGCTATAGACATATGACAGATGATCTTTTTCCCTTGCATGAAAACGAAGCTGTTGCCCTTCGGGTATTAAAAGATTCTTAGTGGTATTACCTTTGTTAATGAAAATAGCACGCTTTATCTGCACTTTTCAACTACCTCACACAACTGAGCTCTCCATTATTTGAACAGCCAGCCTAGCCCTTTTAAGAGCCCAATGTTTCTTTTCTAATAATTTTATTTTTATTTCATGTGCATTTGTGTTTTGCCTGCATGTATGTCTGCGTGAAGGTGTCAGATCCCCTTGAAACTTGAGGCTACCATCTGGGTGCTGGGACCTGAACCCAGGTCTTCTGGAAGTACAGCCAGTGCTCTTAACTCCTGAGCCATCTCTCCAGCCCCGAATGCTGTCACTTGAAGTCTGTGAGGCAAACAGTAGCTTTAAAAAAAACAGCAGTCTCTACAGAGTGACTTCCAGGATAGCCAGGGCTACACAGAGAAAGCCTATCTCAAAAAAAAAAAAAAAAAAAAGAGGGAGGGAGGGAGGGAGGGATTTCTGGAATTGTTTATTTCTGGCAAAATTCTATTTCAATGCTTCCATTTACAAGACCTCTTGACCCTTTGACATTAAAATCATTACTCTGAGAAGCCTATCCAGTCAGGAAATGTCAATTAACTAGCTAACTGGCATTTTCTTGATTTGCCAAAGGCTCTGTGATTCAAATAGTTTTCAAATTTGTATTTGAGTCTTGTGAAAGTTTGAGTCATTCCACTTAGTTTGATTTTTTTCCCTCAAAATGTACAGCAATTAACACTGAAACATTAAGGCGACTGCCTAATAAGTAATTTAAAACCTAGAAAAGCCAATGTTAAGCAGAAAGGATAGCTGGCTGGAAACTCTTTTAAAAAAATCTAGCTAGCTTATAGTGATTATTTTCATGTTAGAATGATTTGTATCTCTCTGGGGGCAACCTTTAATTAATAACTTAGAAACTGGAATTTTTAAAAGACACTCTAATGAGAAACTCAGTTTTTTCTCATTTCTCTCACATACTTCCACACAAACCAATCCACTAGTGGTTGTTGGATTCTCGATCAAAATATTTATTGCAACTGCCCATTGTCTGTGCACAGCCCCAACTCCCCCCCCTCCCCCCGACAGCATTGCTGGGGATTAAACTCAGGACCTGTGCTAGTTAGGTAAGTGCTCTATCACTGAGCTACACTTTGACTAAAGTGAGCCTCCCTCTGGTGATTCCTGTTCTTCCTCTCCTACACCATTCTCCATAGAGGAGCTGGGATTACTTTTAAAATTATTATACTCCTAGTTTTGTGCAATTTCTTTGTAGCCACTTAAAATTAAACCCTTTACCATGATTCTCAAATTCCTGAACGAGGTAACGTGTTCTTTCTCATCTCAACTTGGGCTCTTCCTCTTGCTAACTAGACCGCAGACATCTGCCTTTCTCCACGTCTTATCATTCCAGAAACACTTTTCCCTGGCACTGTCTGAAATTTCTACTCCGTAAGCACCTGTTTTCTTGAAGTACTCACCACACTCTGTAAGCGGTTTTTTTAAAAAGAAACCAACCTCCCTGTCGCTTTTGATAGAATGTATGTATACTCGAAGGCAAGGACACAGTCCTATTGTTTACCAGCCCATCATTCTATCTCCAAGCCTACAAGTATCTGCAAGCAATTATATAATTAAGTAGTTATTTGAAGACTGAGGGCATCTCCATCAATTCTTAAAGAAAAGGCCTTTTCTTCCTGCTTGTCTGTATGTCTGAAACACTCAAAGCCAAATGCACTCATTCAATAACTAAGAAAGAAGACGAAGCTAGCAGAAACAAAGTCTGAAGCCACTATTACTTGGAATACGCGATGGAAATGTCTTGATCTTAATTATTTTTTTGTATATGTCCCCCAAAGATGCAAATGGACCACGGCCGAAGGGTGGGGCATGCTTTGGGTTTAGAAAAGATGCTCCGCTGATCACTTCGAAACCTACATCCGATTCTCTAACCTCTAGTCCGTGAAAACCCAGAGACAACCACCACAGGGAGGAGCACAGCAGAGCAGCAGCTCCCCGAAGTCGGGAGGCAGCAGGAAGTCTCCAACCCCCTCTCGCCCGGCGTCCGGGCGCTTCTACAATTCCCTAAGTGAAGTCCAGCCGGCTATAAGGGCAGCGCAACCGGAATGGGATGGGGGAAAACAAACAAACAAACAACAAACAAACTGGCCCTCTCCCGTTC